AAAATAGGGATGATAACATGTCACGTGGGTCACACTAGTGTAAATTCAGTATTTGTTTTTATATTTCCTTGTAGAATTAAGAACTTAAAACTTGTATGCTATTAAAATATAGATTATTAGCTAAGGTTTTATGCTATTTTAATTGGTATAACATAAATAAAAAGTAGTTTAATATAATTTTGAATGTAAGACACTAAAACCTTGTGTCATGCGCAGTAAAGGATACCTATGGCGATAGGGTTAAAATGTGTTTCCTTCTCCTGTAAGCCTGTGGACATTGAAGGTCTGATTTGTTTGCATTTTGCGTACGCTTTACCACCCTACCTATCTTCTCCTTTATCTGGATTGTTCCTTCCTCCTAAAGATCTCGGTGGCTAGGGAGGGTAACTCCTCCTTTTTGTTCATCTCCCTTCCTTCTATTTCTCATCTCTACCCCCATCCAGATAGGATAGACTTCTACGTCTGGTCCGTACTCTTCATTGTTATATTGCCCACACGATTGCCTTCCGTGGGATCCATTCCTGACTCTTTTTCCCTTAGCAGTCTTCCTCTGATCGGGATCTTTCTTCCTTTATCCTCACCAATTGGGTTTGAATTTTGAATTTTGACTTATTCCTCCTTGTCTTCTTCATCCTGGAATTTGTTCCAATGGTGTTCTCATCAGGTTCGACACCTCACCTTTTCCCTCGCATCTCGTCTTTGTCAGCCATTGGAGGAAATACTAGTCAGGCATGTGGACTACACCTAATATGTTCTTCCATTATTTGCAACATGTCGCGGTTTCTTTTTTGTCGTGTTTTTGTATTTGAACTGTTACTATTCTGTTACATAATGATCCAATAAGGTCAATGGTCTAAAAATACCCCCCCCCCAAAAAAAAAACAACTGGTAGTGCACATCTACACATTGCCTTGATACTAGTGCACAAGATTGAAAAAATTAGAGGGAACATTGACCACCTGTTTTATTCTTTGTGATGGTCCTGGTTGTAAACTATTGATCTTTGCGGTAGCATTTTCAACACATTAAGGTCATTGTTGTTTTCCTCTCTGCTTCATATTTGCCAAAGTTTATCATTCATGTTCTAATGATATTTTCTTTGAGTTTATTTGAATAACCCAAATGTACAGAAGTCCACAGAAGGTGGCTCCAAATGGTATATTATGAATTTCCATTTGTTCATGCATCGTATGGAGGAACTGGTTTATTGACTTGGACATGTGGCTGGAAGCTTTATCTTTATAGAGCCAGATCTTATTGACATTCAGCTTATCCAAAGATGATATTTCCTCATTGTGTAGTAGTGTGAGCACATTTGATAACCTTGTGGGTCACAACCTTTTAAAAAATTACATTCACAATTTAATTAAACTACTTTATTATCAACTTATGTTAATAAGAATAGCATTAAAACATAGTTTATGATTCAAATTTTTATTTTATGTAAGTCTTAATTTCAGAAGAAAGTCTTCAAATTCCCAATCTGCACCTCTGTGAGCCACAATGATGTACTGGTGCTGTGATTTCTCATTTATAGATTTTTGCTCTTCTCTTATAAGGGCTTCAGATTTTCAACCAATTAGAAACACACACTATAGATATTGACTGTCGAAAATATAAAACTTCAACCTCTGCTTTACTGAGATACCAATGTTTAGCCCACAGGACACACCCTTCCTATCTCTTCTGTCTTTTAAGAAATGTCTGTAATTTTCTCTGACATTACTATTGTCTGTTTTGTTTTAGAAGTCAAAGTTGGTAAGGAGAGCTTAATGTATTTAGACTAAAGACATTGCTCTGAGCAGTGGAAATTTTTCATAGGTTAGGTAGAAAACCAGGTAAATTATAGTAGTTTTGAGACATTCTATTCTAGTGCCTTATGTATATTTTATATTCTAAAATGCATTTTTGAAAGCTAAATGATTTAGTGTTTTGGACAACTAACATAGTGAGAAAAATCTAGGCTTACTAAACCATGCACCTGAATGAAACTGGCCTTAAGGCTAAAGTAAGTGCTAAATTTCTTGTTTTCTATTTATATATCTTATTTATTCTGTATTTTTGAAGAAAAGTAACTAAAATATAAAAGTTAAAACTTATTAGGTTAAATAAAAAAAACTTGAAGCAAAATAAAGGAAAAATTTTGCTTGGTTATTTCTCAATGAATGCGTGCGACATAATATGACTTAACTTGATACTTTGTTTATCCTAAACTCTCTTCTTTCCTTCTAGGTGATATATTGGTTGTCCAAAGTACAGTAAAAAACCCATAAAACTTAAAGAAACCAAGTGTCAAAATCTTAGAAACTTGGAGCTGTTAGGATAAATAATTGTAATTGTCTGTTACAATCTGCAGTCATTCTAGAAGTAATTATTTTTTAATTATTTCGTATTTTTCAATTTTTAATTTCACTTTACATTGATGAATTTGCTATAGTTAGTATTAGGGAAGAGAAAATAAGAAATAATGTATAAAGTTTTACCAAAAAACATTTTTATATCCAGTTAGGAGATTCTGTTGGTAATACAAATGAAATGTAAAATCTGTAAAAGAAGTATTTTTATATGAGAATGAAAATCACTTTTGACTCAAACTGATAAAGTAAACACTTTGTAAATTCACATAAAAAATCTCTAGTAAAAATAGGTTCTTAAAAAATTGGATTTTTTTTGTGTACAACAGACTATTAATGTTTACTAAAAGCTTGCCAAATTTTGTTAAGATACACTTAGCACATCAAGAGTTATGTATATTTTCAAGGTTATAAGGCCTCCCAGTGGCACAGTGGTATGTCTGCGAACTTACAATGCTAGAAACCGGGTTTCAATACCCGTGGTGGTCAGAGCACAGATAGCCCATTGCGTAGCTTTGTGCTTAACTTCAAACAAACAAACAAAATCAAGGTTATAAGGTTGTCAAAATGGCCGAGCCTGTATATACATATATATAGAAGTAACATGCAGAGTTCACATTGGCGTCTTTTTTGACTCTCCAGATATTCAACTTTCCATCATACGTGTAAACCCCTTGAAAACACTTTTGTGACATGCTTTGTACTGTTTCTGAAAATCTGGATTACCTGTAGTATGATCATGAATTGCAGGCATTTAAGAAGAAATATTCTTTGCCCAGTGTGGTGACATACATGCATTGGTCACTTGATAAATATTGCTCTTATATATATATCTTTCAGTAGTTGAGCTTTGGGAGAAGCATTTCAACATGGATTTTAGCTACTTTTCTTAGACCTAAATCTGCGTGAAGTGTTTTACTTACATCTCCAAATAAGCTTCTTACTTCCTGTGACAAACTGTCTTCACTACCTCCAGTGATAGTCATCTGGTAGCATGTTTTTTCCTTACTAATTTTATAGCTTCCAATGCTGTGCTGATGATGATGTTCATCACTGTTGATATCCCTTTTCTTTTGAGATGCTAAACTTTTGTGCACTGTAAATTTTCATAATTATTCAGTGGAAGATCTGTGTGTTAGAAAGTCCTCTCAGAAGGAATCAATTTTAGGTGTTGTCTGCACTTAAGAATCACATACTTCAATTGAATTGCAACAAGGGTCTTATGATTTTTAACTTGTGGACTCACAGTTGTGGAAGTAGCCAACAACAAGGTGATTGGATATGCAAGTTGTTACCATAGATTGTGGATGAACAAACCTCTGTCTGTTCAACAATAGTTATAGTTGCTGTTTTTTTGCTAGTTTTTCATATGTTAGAGAACAGTATTACTAGCTGTGAGATTATCTATTATTTCAGTCATCAGACAAGAATTCAACAGAAGATAGATACAACATATCCAGAAGTGGTTGAACCAAACTTCTCATGTGGGAACACCATGTCCACTACTGCTTCTTAAACATAAAATTTGTTTGTAAGTAATAAATGATATCAGTCATACAGATTGTAAACTGCCTTGTATGATGGAAAACAATCTTATTTCAAGCTCTTGTTTTCATGAAGTCATGCAAGGCACTGTATATGTATATTATTTTCAGAATTGGAGAGTTTCAATGGAACATAGTGGCATGTAATTTATTTGAATTGAAAGAATAATCAAATGGTTCTGTGTTTAATATGATATTGGTATTTGGTGACTTGTTCAAACATTATACATGAAAATTAAGAAGTTTTCTTCTAATGTTAAACTTCATGGTTTCTTGCTGAATATTCTGTTTTTATTTCACCAGTTTTTTATAATGGTGCTTTGGCATAAAATTTAATAACTCATACATTGGAGACCATATATTTCTTTGTAAACTTATTATCAACCAGACAGTTTCTGTAGATTTGTTAGGAAATGGAATGTAAGTTTTTTATCAGGAGATATTGTTCTTTGTGGAAAAAATGCATAAATCCAAAAACCAAAGACCCAAGCTGTTTAACAAATGTTTCTGCAAATGAAAGCAACTGAAAAAGTATATATATATATATATATATTTATATTACAGTTATCTTTGAAGCATTTGATTATTTACTAGATATTTTCTTAAGTTATACTTATTTTAAAGTTTTAGTTTGTCACTGTGTAATTTGACTCTTTTATTTCACAGTATGGAGATGGTGAATTCTGATTCTAAAGATTTTTATATAAAAATTAGATTAAAAAATTTTTGGAAGAACATACTCATTATAAATAAAATTTGTGTTAAAGTGAAAATTATTTTTAAATATTTTTTTAAATAATACTCCAGTACATTTTTTTTTTCAAAACTACAATAATTTCATTTTAAAATACTTAAAACTATATTTTTGTGTTTCCATAGAGTATGGAGTTTTTAATAAATAATAATTTGGTGTCAAAATGAAAAAAGTCAGTCTTTGAAATAAATTTTGACAAGCATGAAAGTATTAAACATGCTACATGAATGGCACCATAATGAAGTTCATGTCAATAATCAGTTGGAATTCTTGATATTTTTGTTTCTGTGTTTAATATGCAGTTAGTTTCTTGTTATCATACTCAGTAAATGTGTGGATATGATGTTGTAGTTAATTTGTATAACTTGCACTGTTTATTACATCTGTTTTGCTTACTTGTAACTTTAAAATGTGTTTGATTTTAACCTATTATTATTATTTTTTACTGAAACGTAAAATGTAACTTGAATCTCTAAAAACATACCAGAAGGAGTTTTGAATACTTTTAGTTCTTCTTGTATGCATATATATATATATGTATATGCATTGGATTATCTATAATTCTATCTCTCAATATATATATATATATATATATATATATATACTATTTAGAAATATTATCTGTCTGAAAAGATAACCTTTTTAGAAATAATAGATTTATGGAAGAGAAACGTCAATAATTAGAGGAAGATTTGTGCTCACTGCTCAAATATCTAGTAACACTTTCTTTAGATAACCATTGTCAGTGTGTGTGTATACATTATTAGTGTCATTTTTGTTTAATATTGTATATTGTTTTAGTACATTGGCAACTGAAAGTAGCAGTAAGAACATTATCAGATTTTAATATTGTTTGTTAAAAAAGTATGAAACATGAAGTTTTTCTTTACTTTCTCTGATATTTTGGAAAACGTTTAGGCACCGTCTAAACTATAATACAAGAATCATAAGAATTTGAAAGTGGATGAGCTTCAAGGGATGAAATATGGCAGAAATTACCTTGTAAAAAAGTCAGGTTGTTTAATATATAATTTCATTTTTAAAAGTATAAGTGGTATCACATTTTGTGTACTACTATTTTGATTATTCCTTAGTAACTGTAGCTATATTTCAAGATAATCACTTTGTTATGAAGACTGAACTTCAGTGCATTTAAAGGTGCATGCAAAGGATATATGAAGTTAAGGTTTTAGAGAAGCATTCCTGCTGGGAACATAAAATTTATCTTAAACATTCCATTGGTCAGTAGTTCTTTTTTAAGCGTAACCAGAATCACACCTTAAATTCATATAGGAAAAATGTCATTCCCTCATGCAAGCCAGTGCTGATAATAAAGTAAGAAACCTTTTAACAATTTTTTTCTTTCCTGTGTGAAAAACTATCAGCTTGCATTCCACAACAAAAGGAAATTGCATAGAGTTCAAAATATCTTGAATTCTCTTTTAAATATATTAGCTAAAAGAAAAACATAAAACCACTTTATTAGATATTGCTTCAACTGCTTTATATCTTTAGGTGTACATGTAGATGCTGAATTGTTCCTTTGTGTGACTAGCTGAGAAAGTATTTTGAGAACTTGTCCAAGGAACTTAGTATGTATGAAGCTTAAAGTTACTTATTTAGTTCACAGATTATAAACAGCTCTTTAGATAATTATATCTAATTATTAGCATTACCTCATAAATAAACAATGTAATTTTTTTTATCTCATTTTAAGAAAGCATTTTAAATAATGTCATATACAAGAATAAGTATTAAACACTGGCTTGTTTTTGTGACTTTAATGAGAACATTGAGATATGTTTGTGATCAGTTTAGCCAGACTTATGTATTATATTCCTATTTTAATGTTAGGTTGTTTGCTTGCTATGTTATTAAAGAGTTTTTAAGCCAAGTCATTATTATTATGTAACACAAAACTATCAACCACTTTATAACAAAATGTTATAAATATTACTGTTATAGAACTTAAAAGGCTCCTAGTTTTATTTCCAAGCAGCAAATAATTGTTTTTTTTGTAGTGAAAGTTATAAAAAGAAAGGTCTGATTATTTACATCAGTGAAATTTTAGTGAGCTCTCAGGAATTTGACGTGTCTATCAGTGTATGTTTTTTTACATGAGAATGTTGTGGTCTTCCTAACATGCCTGTAAGGTACTGATGTTACCATATTTCATGAAGATTGACATTATTTAGAACTTATTAATGGTAATTCATTATAATGTTAGAATACTGTTTTGTGTAGTCAACATGTGTCTCATTTCAATCAGTTTTAAACTAGTCAATTCTTTTAATATCTGTGTGTACGATGCTGAATCTCCCACATAAAGCTGTCTGTTTTTCCTGTGAGTAAGGGGTTCATCAGGTCTCAAGAAGACCTGATCATTATAGTTTTGTTTTAACATTATTATATGTTAAGAAACTTTCATAACATAATATATAATGTTTTTTTTTGTTTTGTTTGGTCTCTTCTTAGCTTAGTGCACAATTATCTGTCACTCAGTTCAGCAGTATGTACAGATGCAGAACGTTATTAAATTTGGTATGTCCAATATATCACATATGTGTTAGTTGAAATGTATAAATATGTGGAACCCACTACATGAACAACACTGTGTGGCAAGGTTCACCTTTGCTCATAACGGAGAGATACTTAGATTGGTAGATCATGTATTTAAGTAAGTTTGTCAATATCATTTCATTACGTTACATGAAATAGTGCTGCCTATATAATGTTTCTCTGTTGTTGAAAATAAGGCTTGTATCAGTAAACTGGAGAAAGTTTCTGGTTTAATTACCATTATAGTAGAGGCAGCCCTACATGTGCAGTATGAATATGTGCTTTGAATCAACACTACTTTAATGTTTATTATGTGTGTTTTGTTAACTGTTTAATATAAGGTTTGTCTGTTAATATGTTAACTAGAATAGTGATCCTAAAGTTAGACATAGAATATAAAGTGGTGGATGAAACTCTGGTTAATCTGCAAACTGAAAGTTGATGTCACGTGTTGTTATCCAGCATAATTTGCCTGTAGCTGTAGAGGTTTGTAAAGCCAGTTGTAACTTGCATTTAAACACTCTTGGTCTCAGTGTGATGGTTTCCTATTATCTACTTTGCTCTTGAAAACTTTGTTCAAATAATACTCTTTCTATATATTTGTATTATTTTATACTTTGTTGATCAAAGTAGTTGTCCTTGATATGGGACATCTGTGGACCAGTAAAAAAAAAGTATTTACCAGGATGATTTTAACCCTTTCACTGCATTGTCATAGGGACTGTGACATAGTACCTGTTAATGTTCATTGTGCCATAGAACCTACAGCATGTTCTAATTTTCTGTACCTGTATCCCCATGCAGAAGTATTTGCCTTTGCATTTTAGGGAAACCACCAAGTTTTCTAGTGGTTATATTTTGTGCAGATCATATGACTATCACATATCTTCAGCAGGATAATGTACTTTCATAGAAATGTTGGGATAAATCCTTGGAATTCTCTTCACTGCTTTACTTCTGCAGCTGCTGTTTAACAATGGTAAACTAGAAAAAAATCAACTATGTTTTTAATTACACAGTAGGTTTCCATCTTTATCATTCTAAAAAATCAAAGCAGAGAATTGGAAAAGCTCCAGTATTTATCCCAAATAACTTTTGAATTCTGGATGCCTGTAATATGTGCACTGCAAGTAAATATATCAAGATTACGTAACTGAAAAGTGTAGGCCTAAAATTATACTACAAATGATTTTTGAGTGCTCCTATAAATTTTAACGATTGTGACTTCACAAAACAAAGGATTTTACCCTAAAATCATAAACAATTTGTTCTAGTGGCTTTGAAACTATGTGGTAAAAAACCACAAAATTATAGTAATATTACAAAAAACAACAACTCCATACAAGGAATAAACACTGCTACCATAGTGAAGGGGTTAAGGATGTTCTTCATCCAATATGCTTCATAGATGTGAGTTATTTTATGGTGTCTGTACATATCTTAATACATAGAGTGATCTGTAGGCTAGTGGTGTACAACAGAAAATTGCAAATTTCTTACTACCAAGTGCTTTTTGTACTATTTTGTATTTTAAACTTAGCTTCATGTTTTTAACTACCTTTTTATTTATATTGTCTGTCAATCAACTGAGTGTTTTCTTTACAACAATTTTGTCTGACTTGGTTGATAAGTGGTAATAAACCAAAAGTATGTTTGGTATTGTAGTCTGTTAATGTTGAAAATAACACATCTTGTCAAAAAAAACAATGTATCAGTTTTATTTGACAACCAAGAATTAAATATTTTCATTGTATGTTTGATTTATTCAATATATTTTGTTCAAAGTTTTTGAATACATTTTTCCACACTTGTTAAGGCATTTAGTTCAGTATTTTATAAATTGTATACTAGGGTATATTAGCTTTAGCTTCAGTAAGTTTGAAATGCTGACCTTCAAGCTTTTGTGTGTGTTCATTTTTTTAATATGTCCATTAAAACTTTTGTGTAGCTAATTAACCTTATTGTCAATTCATTGAAAGTATTATAATGCATTGAATTTTCCTTTGTTTTTAATCCATTAGATATCAATATCAGTAAAATATTCCATTCCATTCCAGTAATATTTTTGTTTCCAAACTGAACAGTTGACTCAGTATTTACTCAATAAACTTATAAGTCATAATTTTTTCTCCAACAATTATCCAATTTTCTCTTCATCTTTTAATAATGAGAAATAAGGGTTAAATATTATTCTGAATAAGTATGGGAGTAAGTGAAAGATTTTGTAAGTTGGGAAGAATTTTGGTGCAAGGAAAATGACAAAAATTGGGAAGAAAAAGGAGAAAGAAAGTAATGAAAGGGGAAGAAAAAAGAGGAAATAAAAATAGGGAAATTAAATTGTATATTGAATATTGGATTTTGTTGCTGAAGCTGTGCCACTATACCACTGTTTTCAACCAATCAGACACCATGAAAAA